GATGGGAGCACGGCTGGTGGCTTTTTTTCTTAAACATATAAGGCTCCTCTTGACATCTATCCCAAAGCAGCCTGGTGACGTCGGAAATATCCACATGGGCGCCAAAGATCAAAATAAAGGCAAGTCTCTGGAGACGGTGCTTCTCTCTCTGGAAACCAGGCCCTTTGTCCTTTGGGGAGGCACGAGGGCCTGGCTGAGCTGCTCACTCGGAAGTGGGAAAATGCTGAGTTGGGGCTCAGACATCTTTGGGAAACAGTGTTCAATTGTGTAGACAAAAATCCCAGAGCCCACCGCAGTGAAACACTTCCCAGAAGGAATCACTCACAAAACATTTTAAATTCAAATTCTAACAGAGTTTAAAATAAAAAAGTTCATAGACAACCAGGAGGTGGCGCCTGGCGAGACGCACTCCCTGCCCCGGGAGGTGGAATCAGCCCCGGGCGCTCCCCAGGAACTCGGCTCAGTCTGAGCAGGCCCTTCGTTAGTGCCGAGCAAAAGACGTCTCAGCTTTCTTTTCTGTATTTCCTTTTATTTTTGTTAATCCTCACCAGAGAATATTTTTTTCCATTGCTTTTCAGAGAGAGTGGAAGGGGGGGGAGGAGGAGAAGGAGAAAGAGAGAAACATCAATGTGAGAGAGACGCATGTACTGGTTGCCTCCCACACAGGGCCCGACCAGGGGGCAGAGAGTGAACCTGCAACCCAAGCATTTGCCCTTGACTGGGAACGGAATCGGAGACCCTTCGGTGCACAGGCCAACCCCAGCCAGGGGTCGGCTTTTTCCCCCTCCTTGTTCCTCTGTGATAACTATCCTCATCCCCAGGACGTCTAATTTACACTTTACCATCCATTCTTCTTAGATGAGATGTGTGGGGACTTTATGGGAACCTCAAAACAAAAACTTAACTGTAAGTGCCTTGGCTGGTGGGTAGAGCAGCAGCCCACGCACGGGGGGTTCAAAGATTCGACTCTGTGTCAAGGGCATGTACCAGGGTTGCAGGTTCAAACCCAGACCGGTTTTGGGGAGCATGTGGGAGGCAACCAATCATATGTCTCTCTCACATCGATGTTTCTCTTTCCCCCTTCCTCCCTCCCTCCCTTCCACTTCCTCTAAAAAAAAAAATCAATAGAAAAATATATCCTTGGGTGAGGATTAACAATGACAACTTTCCTGTAAGGGAAAAATCATATGGAGGGTGATGAGAGAATTAAAAAGGAAGTGACATCTGCAGAATGGCTTGGCTTTGCAGATCAACCACAGAAAGGCCGGGGCCAGGGGCTCCTGCCTCCGCAGGTGCTGGTGACCCCGCACAGGCTTTGTTCTGTGGGGCGTTTATCCTGCTCCCTTATTCAGCTTCCGCTCGCTTTGCTTTGGCTATTTATTGCTACTTAGCAGGAGCGAGGAGGGAGGGCAGAGGGAGCTCAGATGGGAGCATCCTCCCGGTTGGTGGCTGATGAAGGGTAT